ACTTTTTGTTTAGTAACTGATTTATGTTTTTAAAAGTATCTTATTAGTGTACAAACTTCCTTTGGGTCAGCACAGGTTGTCCTCACAGGTGGTGGAGAGGGGCTTGAAAAACTTAATCTATGTGATACTAGCAATCATTTTACCAATTTAATGCAAGACACATGGACCATTTACAATAATCATTGATCTGTTAAACTAATTCTAATTGTTTTTCTTTACTTGACCATTTAGATATTGGTTATGATATAGGGGCTTTAAATATTCCTAGTTAGATACTTAGATAAAATATCAATATAAATGTCTAAGGAACTGCATTAGAGCTTACCATAATAAAAGTTTTAAGCAGAAGACCCCTAAGGTGTTTGGTCTGTAATTTAAATGTACCCTTGCATGTCCTACAACATGAAAAAGTGCAATGTTTACTTGAATACAAGATGACCCTGAATATAAAGCAACCCCCCAATAATTAGATTCTTTAGATGAAAAATTAATAAATTTGCTATCATTTTCCAGGTATAGAATTTCATTATTGGGGGTGTGGTCCTAAATTCATTCCCTGCCTCTGCTAGAGTGGGGAAAATAGTGGCTGGGGGTGAAGGTCAGGTGACCCCTCTGCCCTCTCAATTTCTTCCCTTCAACTTCTAGTCCTCAATACTTTCACCCACTGGTCAGGCTCTGTTCCCTCCCCAAGCATAGTGTGGAAGTGAGTTGCATGTGACAGTTAGGGGTTGGTAAGGACAGGGAAGATAACAAAAACTACTGTGTGGAACAGGAGACTGCTGTGGGCTTGACACTGGCCTCAACCTTGACTGCTGCTCATTTCAGCACAGGTACTCCCTAAACACACCACTTTTGTGCCTTCTTGTGTATAGCACAAACTGGGCATGATATTAATCCAGAGCCAAAGGGCTCAGCTCTGGGGTGTGTGTGTGTGTGTGTGTGTGCGCGCGCGCGCTTCAGATGCACATCTGCATTCAATTAACTTCATAGTTGGTTTCCATGATTGAACACATACTGCTGCTTCCAGCAGTTTAATGATAGCCAAAATATTTAATAGGGTGGATTTGCTGGTATGTGAATATAAGATGAGGGGCTTTATTTCCCATGCTGATTGAGCGGGGCAAGCTTATCTTATATTTGAGTAAATATGGTAAACCACACTACTTTCAATTGATGTGCCTTGGTTTCATATTTTTGGAAATCATTCTTTTGAACTTCTTAAAAGAAATTCTGGAGCTATATTATTATTTGATTGCATTGCTCAAAATGTGTGTACGTGTTTAATAGTGTTGGAGTGATGTTCATAGCTGTGATGGTCCAGGATTTATGCAAAAGGCAAAGAGTTATTTGGGTGATAGCTTTTCTTGAACCAGCTGTATAACTGGAATAAAGTTAAACAAGCTTTCAAATGCAAAGCATTCTTTTGCATTCAAAAGCTTGTCTAAATGTATCCCAACTATACAGCTGGTCCAATAAAAGATTTCACCCAAGAAAGTTCTCCTATTTTTTCCCTCTTCATCTCCCTCTTCCGTGTGTGTGTGTGTGTGTGTGTGTGTGTATGCGCACACATCAATTCACAGAGTACAGGTGTGTTTGCATATTAGTTGCATCTGTACCAGTATTTTTACATAACTGTGTGTATAAAAAGAAAGTTGTGCAGAACAAATAGATTACATACAGAATGCAGTAATTTAAACACTATTTTTTTTAAATATTGGGGGTGTGATAAAGCTCTGTTATGAAAGGGAGATATTATGTATTTTAATATTTCACTTAATTCTTTTTGAGATTTCATTTTGACTTTTGACACAGGAGCTCATGGTGATTGTGGTTGGCTGGGAGCAGAGTGTGTTCAGAGATTTCTTACATAAAACTTTTGGGCCCATCGCAGTCCTTCCCATGATGCAATCCAGCTCATGAAAAAGAACAGGTTCTGAAGCCCTGAAACTACTATGGCCTTGTGCATTGTGGCATTCTGGTGGCATTTTACTTTTGTGTGTCTAAAACATTTTATTTATTTGGCTTTTCAGTAAAAAGTAAAAAAAAGTCTTTAGGCAGTAGATGCTTACTGCGAAAAGCTTGGCTTAGATAGGGAAAGGAGAAACTTCTTTGAGCAACCCTAAGCGAGAGGCAGTTTCTGTAACTTCTAGCATGTCAGGGCTTGTATTCCTTATCTTTTTTTAGCTCTATCACAGGTTCTTCTATACTTTAAACTTTCAAGAGTCAGGACTGTTTTTTTCCTAGTGTCAGTTGTCAGCTGCAGAGGGGCAAAGTGAAGGATTATGTGGGAATATGTGGTATAAGAGATGCTGCTACTTCTTCTTCCCACCCCCACCCCCTGCTTTTTGAGGTTTCAAGTATAGGTGGATTTGATATTGCAGAAGGTTATATATTACTGCCGGTCAATCTTAGCTGTGTAGCAGCAATGAGTAGCATCAGTTTTGGGGGTCAATACTTGCTATGGAAGTACTTTCCTTATAAATTACTAGTTAAAAAAAGTATATAACATTTTTCTAAAATTCCTTCTAAATCAAAACTTACTTTGTATGTTCTCGGTCCAAAAAAAGGGAAGATTATAAGATCTAAAATGAATGGAATGTTATCAGACACTTATGTACACTACTGTAAGAATCCCCCTGCAGACCTTGAGAAGACAGATGCTTCATAATTCCTTGGAGACCCTTTAGTGGAAGCAGCTTTGCAGTTAGTTGTAGTTTTCACAGGCATTTAGAGGGTGCAAGACCTACTCATTTGTTTCCTGTGAATTCTGACTGACTTTAGACAGTTTAACAGTTTAATCCAAAATAAATAAATTTAAAGAGAGAGAGAATACAGGAGATATTTTGTTCTTAAGCTAATTGAATCTCTTCCAGTGTCAAACTAATTGCGTTGGCAATGTAGGCAAAATAAAACAACTATAAAAAGAGACTATTTTCAGTGCATCATAATAACTATGTTGTTCAAAGTCCTAACAGATCTAGAATGTGTCACCAACTGTAACTCATGTATTGTTTTGAATTATATTGGATCCTATCCAATTTTGTTGTAAAACAAATTGTTTTTGTTAGTAGCAACTAGATAGAGTGCTACTGTAAGTCTTTTGGGGTAAGAAAACTGCTGTTTCCAGGTTTTACAATAATATTTGATGCAGCCCATGTGAACACATCTGCATTTATAAAATGTTTTTAGACCTCAAGGCACTTGGGGAGCTTTCTTAGTTTACTATTTTATTGAAAAACTTGACAGTAAAACAACTTAAATCCCACAAGGAAATGTATATAAAACTTAACTGTGGGGGTCTCAGATGCTGGGGGCACGTTGAAATACTAAGAGTATACCCATATCCCTAAAACCCTGTAAATTTTATATTGGTCTTCCACCACCTTCCTGTTTTTTAACTTGCAGTACAGAAGAGCAGTAATGCAACCAAGGTGTTGCATTTCAGTGATGGAGGGGAGGTATTGCTTTTCTTATACCCTGTAATACAAAGCTTAATAGGAATGTATGTATAATTTAGCAAACAGTGTATAGATTGATATAAATTGTTTTTTTCCTAATATGCAGTACATGTTCCTAATACACTCATGTATGTAATAGGGAAATTCATGGTTTGAGCTCACTGTTGTGGCTTGGGGCTCAGGTGGCTGTTGCTTCTATTTTTTAGTATATAGTTAACATTAGCAGTCACCCTTATAATGATGTGACACAGGCTGTCCGCAAGTATGGGGGCTGTCTGCTCCTGGCATTAGCAAGGTTGATTTAATCAGTAACACAGTCTAGTTTCAGTGACATCCATTGGACTGAAAGAGAAAGCCAACTGTGATTTCCCCGCCCCCCCTTTTTTCTTTTAACTAAAAGTGTTTAAAAGTATAGAAAAACCTCTTCCACTCCTGTTACCACACCTGAATTTGGATCAAGTTTCTAAGTAACTTTTATTTAGAAAATGAATACTTTAAAGCTATTAAGGGAATACTTTCAGTGTAGTAATACTACTGTCAACAAAAGATGTGATTAAATAAATTGAATGTTGAAGACTTTCGGCTTACAGTTAACACCAGGTAATTAAAAGTAAGCGCTGCTGTGGGAGTGCATTATATATCAGCTGCACTCTTTACCTCATTAGCTAGGTTTTTGCATGTTTATGGAGCTAACTTGCAATTAAAAATTCCTTTAACGTATGCTTATCCGTATGCTTAGCAAGGTCTTTTAGGTATTTGGAATAAAGTACTACAATTTAATTGAAAGTGGTATAGCATAAATAGATGTCTGAGTAATATACAAGATAAATCTCAATGCTGAACTTTGATGTTTTACATCTATTCCTCTTGTGTCATGATTATTGTTGAATATAATGCCTGAAATTTAGCTTATGTAAGGAATAAGGGTTGTATCTTCAACTCTGATTTAATAAATAAACTTAATTTGTTCAGATACATTCACATTTTAATGCTGCATAAGTTCTAGTCGAAGTTTAGTGCAGACATTAATGTTGGTATTATACATTAGCATTTTTGGATGGCTTTTAATTACAATAAAAGACTATGCCAATCAAAGATCTTCTATACTAAAGTAGAACTGAAGTAATATACCACACTGTTTTCATTTAAGAACCTTGGTATCTAGGGACATTTTGCATCCTTCTGTCATGACCTGTGTCAAGGGATAGTGTTATACTTAAATCCCAATATGAGTAATTACAAAATAAAAATCCACTTTTATAGGAACCAGCTTGGATCCCAAAATAACTCCTTCCCTCAGTATGCATCTGACCGCATAGTTTTAGTTGGCTACAGTTTTGGAATTGAATAGTAGAGCTATACTTTTAAAAACAAAAAGAGAGAGAGAGAGTGGATGGGAAGGAAGGACACAGAGAAAGCTTGTGTGCATATTTTGAGAGAGAAAACATAGGGCAAAGCAGGCATGTCATTTCTCATGTTTGTAAATAATAGGGTGAATCTTAAAATGGTACTATTCACTGACTTTGTGAATTTCTTCTGTAGGAGTGTTGTTGTACCTCCAAAGAAGTCAGCCGGTTCCTCTTCTGCAGCTACTACGAATCTACCCACACATGCAGTGAGTGTGGTTTCTTCGCTAGACTCGGCGCAGGCCCCAGACCTGACAGGGGAATCTCCTGGTGAGTCAGAGTAAATAAGGATGGTCTAACAAAAAGTGAAAAGACGATGGAAATGAAATTGTCTGTAAGTAGAATCTATATGAATGAGGGACTACTCTGACAGTTCATATCCACATCCAAAAAACTTTGCAAAGGTGAATATTAGTCAGATGATAACTGAAGTTGTTACGGAAGTTATTTTTCCATTATGAGAGTAGGAAAGTGAAGAACTTGTTCTCTTTTAAATTCTACCACGCTTACAAAAATACTGCTTTTTTTCCTATTGATAAAATGTGTCTTAATTACTATTGGAACGATGCTATATCTAGAAACTCTTTTGCTGCCTCAGTATCTCTGGTATCACAAGTGTTGTGTTACCAGATCAGAGTATTATGCCTCTGAGGCCAAGATCCTGCAAGCTGCTTTGCACATGTCATGTGTCCTGTACCTACGTTATAGTGGCTTCCAAAGCTGCTTGTTATCCTGTCTCTAACAAAAGCCAGTAACAATACTTCAGAAGAAGACAATGCCTCTGTTGAATCTAGCTCATTTTGCAATGGTTTCATGTGGGTAGAAGAAAAAGAAAATTCCTTTCTGAGACTTTACCAGTGATCAGCTTGCACCTTAAAACATAAGGCTTGATTACTCTAATCATTCTTTACTTCTATGTTGTGGTTGCACAAGCCTACAAAGCTAACTTCTTTTTAAAATAAGAATCCTCTTACAGTATTTCTCATTGACCACTGGTAACATTGAAGTCTACAAGGTGTATACAGTGTGTGTGTATATATATATATATTTTTTTTCTTTATTCCACATTTCCTTCCTTTTAACTTGATTGTATTCTCTTGTTTTCCCATAAGACAAAACAAATACAAATGTCTGTTTTAAACAGTACTTTCCATAATTCTAAAATGATTGTTTTCTGAAAAAAGGGAGATTGTTAAAAAGCAAAAGTTAGTCATAATTAGCATAAGAATTGCAATCCTAATATGTTGTAATAGCTTCCTACTTCAGAGTATTTTTTTTATTTTTAAAAGGTTTTTTCCAGTTGAGTAAAAAAAAATCTTGACATTTGTAAATTGTAGTTCAATTAAAGATATTTCCACTAATAATGGGTCCAAAAATGTGTAGAAGGACTTCAAATATCTTAACCTGTTGTCAACTTTGCACAGTTGATGTCCTGAGGGTATGCATATTTTTGCATTTGGAGCTGATCCAAAACAGGAATATTTCAAAAGAGCAGCAGTCATTATGTTCCAGGTTTGTCCACACATAACAAATAGAATGATTTGAACGTAGCAAAACTGCTCCAACTCTGAAACCAGATGAAGCCATGTTTAAAGTTGGAGTGGTTTTGCTCAGCTTGAATCATTCCTGTCTTGTCCACATGTAACAATAAGAACATAACAGCTGCTGCCTTTTGAAACAGCTCCAAATGTATGGATGTCCATACACTGGGTAATTACCGTTGTTAGTCTTCAGTGAGGATAGACAGTAGGGTGGGTCATCTATAAAGAAATGTTCTCTGAGGTACTCTAGCCTTTCTGTATGGCAGATAAATAGATGTTTAACCTATATAGTCAGAAGGCAGGGTAAATTTGAACTTTATAGACTAACTAAATCCATAGATGCATACAGAAGTAAGCAAGAATTACTTCATCAGGTCTGACAATGGGACTGAAGGAAGCAGAGATTCTAAATAGAAAGTTGTAACTAGAATCCAAAGGGTAGGAAAGAGGGAGGAAAAAGAAGGGGGTACTGCTGGGAGAGGTAAGGTGGACAGGAGAGAGAAGAACAAAGCAGTTAACCCATTGAGGGACTTGGGGGGTTATAAAAGCTAATCTGGGTAATGGGATAAAAATCCATAATTTTTGTTTTAAGCAGGGGTTAGCAACATATGGCTTGCAGAGCCATTGGTTACAGCCCATGGGGCTTCAGAGCTTTACCTGTGCTTGCTCTGGGCTGTGCTGTGCTAGGCCTGGGGAGCTGGAAACTGCCCACACCACTGCTACTTTTCACCACCTTCACCTTCCCCAAGATGTAGAGTGTGGGCACAGCTTCTACTTGGTGGGGACCTGCACCAGGGGCAGGTTGTAGGGGGAAAAATGGCAGCAGCACAGAAGCAGCTTCCAGCTCCCCAGCCCTGGCACAGCTCCCTTTTGGGTGGAAGCTGTACTTGCACTGTATCTGGGGAGCTGGATCTGGATAGGCTGGGAAAAACAGTGATGGTGTGGGTGCAGCTCTTAGCCTGAGGGTGGCTGTCCCAGGGCCGGGGAGCTGGAGGCTGCTTCCACATTACCATCTCTACTCCCTGCATCTGGGCCCCAGGGCAGCTCTCTGCCAGCTGGAAGCTGTGCTCACACCACATCTGGGCAGTGGGGGTGATGAAAGAAGCAGCAGTGGTGCGAGCACAGCTCCCAGCTGTGTGGTGCTGGCAGGGGCACAGGGAAAGCCTTTTGCCGCTGATGCACTATGGAAGCCACCTGACCCGTGTCAAACTGGAGCTGGTTTGTTCTGGCTTATAGCTTGAAAAAGGTTGCTAGCTCCTGGCTTAGATGATACTTAACATGATCCAGTCAGTGGATGATTTCTTGTTCTGCAGTTTCCCATTCAAATGCGTTTTTTAAAGTTTTGTTCACAAAGAGCAACTTGCTAAAGGTTTTTTGGTCAATCATTGTACAGTGCTAAGGCTGTGTGCGCTCTCATGGTTGTCTTTGCCCAGCAGAATCACCAAATTGCACGTTAAGGCTTTGTCCTGAACCAAATCCCTGTATCAAGGAAGCTTCCATCTTTATTTGCTTGCTAGGCAATTCTTTGTACTGCAGGAGCTAATTGCTTCTCTGCCTTGCTAATCTTGTATCGGAATTAAAAAGGCCCAGAAAACCCCTTCCTCAGTTCTCTAGTGTGTGTATTTGTCAACTCTGTCATCTTTAACTCTCTGCAAGGTTACATGAGGGAGTTGTGCAGATCTGGTTGCAACCGTGATATAGGAAAGGAAAAAGCTTTTTGAAATTCAATACCTTCTTACTGTTGGATAGAGAGAGGAAATTCGGGTCTATCACTAAAATTGCAGGAGATAGCAGTTTGCTAGTTTAGGCAATGTCTAGACTAGGAAAATTGGTTGTGTTTTAAACACGTCAGTTCTAGAGGGAGGATAAAGTTAACCATGAGCCACTAAAATGTTTTTAACAGAGTTAGATCCTTGGTTACATTGAATTTGTTTGTTAAAATGCTAGCTATTATATGTTTTCCTAAGTTAAATAGATCCTAGGTTATTGTATATTGGCAAATATTTAAGTACTTTTACTTGGGAGCAAACCAGGAATTCAGCTAGCAGGCTTGGGATTTTTTTTGGTAAGATTGATCTGGGAATATACGAAATGCTGCTTTACTCTAACATGTATAAGTAATCCAGACAAAAACAATAATGGTGTAATTTTGCAGCAGTGTAACTTCCAGAATGTCTGGAAGTGTTGGCAAAAATTAGACTTCTAATCTAAAATGATACGCATAAAAAGAAACTAAGCAGGATTAAAAATACCAGACATGTTTGGACTGGCAATCTAATTAATTGGAAGGAAAAACTTAAGTGATGCATGAAATCATGCCTAAAGCTGATTAAAACATGAGTCTATATTTTGGAAATCAGTTTAAAAAAAAAGTGATTAAATGGAAATATAAGTTAGCAATGATATAAAATATGTTAAGCTAAAGTAATTTGTGTTAGTGGTGATTATGTAAATCACATACTGTTAAGTTTTAAATACTCCTCTGTGTGGACTTTATCCTTGTGGTATGTGGGAAAAGAAAGACAGCAATAAATGAATAATAGCCATTTCTATTACTGTAAAAATAAGCAACCTGATGTATGCCATCACAATTTTTATCACTTTGTAATTTCTGGCTCTGTTTATGAAAGTCATTAGCTATAAAAAAAAATGGGTTCAGCCTAATATTAGTTGCAGACACATTTACCTGGTCATTCTGAAAAAAAAAACCCTCGCAAAACAAAAGCTTCAGATTACTTTACTTAACTGTCCAGCAAACACAATTTGCATTCTTCCACATCAAGACTTTATAAAACATTTAAAAATAACCTCTAACTAATAGCTGTTCTTCCATAATTAAAAAAAAACCCAGTTTTTTTCAAAAGGGTTGCTTCCTTGACCCATCTTAAAAAATAGATGCTGCAAATAGCATTTTCCCTTCCAGGACAGACAGGGCCTTTGTCTAGGCT